CAGTAGAAAGTTCAGTGTTTCGGACACCGATTCTGATAAGAATTTCTCATCTTATTTCTTATTATGGAATTGAAATTTAATTATCAATAATACGATATTTTATTTAATTTTAAAAATTTCGAGAATTAATTACGAGTTACTTATTGAACCAAAACTAGTTATTTATTATTATTCGTCATGTTTAATTAATTGTTTGATTTTACAACTTTAAATACATGATAGTCTACTAAAATTAGTAAAATAATTCAGTTGTATTTATTTGATACATGTATTATTTGTTTTGCATTGATTTACAGTTAAATTGTAAAACTGAAAATTAAATATATAAAAAATTAATTAGTTAAGTGAATGAATGAATAATAGTCTTATTAAATATATTATCACGTCTTATATAGAGTTTTTTTCTTTTTTATCTCTAAATTGTAACGTGTATTACCAATCATGTTGACGTGCCTAAAACTCATATGTCAGTCAATTAATTTGAGATATAATATAACTATATATTATAAAAATAAATACAAAGTATAGTGTGTGTAGGATTTTTTAGCCTATCATTGGGCAATTGGGCCCACAAAGGAGGAGGAAGCTAAAGGGTAAAGAGTATGACCTTTGATAGAAAAATCCGATGATTCAATTAATACAAAATTTGATTTTTCTAATAATAATAATAAAAGGGGGAGGGAGAAGGGGGTGCAAATGGGACATCACGTGGAGTGTGACCCACCAGTTCCCTTAAAGACACAGCATCTCAACACTCCCATTTCTCCCTCTTTCTTTCTCTACACGACTCCTCTCCTTTTTTTTATTTTTAATTTATTTTTTTTTATATTTACACCCACCCATAATCACGTGACCCAACCTCTATACACAACTCTTTTTTATATTCTAATTAGTTCATATTTTGTTCTCTAATTACACTTGATTAAGAGTTAAAATAAAATCAATGACGGTGAGAGGCAGTAATTAAAAAAAAAAAACCCATTAAGCGGCTTTACTAACTATACAATATTCTTGACGGTACATTTCGGATTTGTGTATTAAGGATTAATTAATTAGATTGATTTCACATGTCTAAATAATTTACAAGTTTCTGCACTAAAGATTTCATTCCAATAATCATGTCTCATTATATATATATATACATGTATGTATGTTGATATCAACCTTCTTGCAATATTCGAGAGTCTTAACATATTTATAGCCATGGATATTATCGGGTAAGTAATTTACAACTTAATGTTAATATATAGTTAACTTCGTATGTTAAATAAAATAATTAGCAATCTATAATTATCCAGAAATTAATTTGACTAAAAGTAAGGATCTTAAACATCAAACAAAGAAAAGTAATTAACGGTAAAATCCCTTCATATATGCACTAATTATATTAAATATGTGTAATTTCTCCATTTACAAACATACATAGAAATAAATATTATATATATATATATAAAAAAAAAAAAAAAGGATCAGGACTTACGTACTCACTAGTATTAATTTCTACAAATTAATTAGCTAAAAATTAACTAAGTTTAATTTCGCTAAAATCCCTTAATCGAAAAATAGAGGGATTAAGGGTCCGACACTAATATACTTGTTCTTCTTTCTTTGCTTTCTTTTTCTTTTTCTTTTTTTTTTTTTTCTCTCCTCTCGAATTAATCCTAATTAATAACTAATTAATTAATTAACAAGCTGCAGAAGAATTGGTGAAGGGATTATAGAAGTTAGACTTAGGAGCCATTGAGAAGGGGCTCTTGGAGTTGCCGTCGCTGGCACCGGCGCCGATCCTCTCGCACGAAGGACACATGGTGAGAGTCGCCGCCGGCATGTGCATGTAAAAGGGCTGAGCCAGTTTCAGTGCTTTCAGCTCCTGAAGCTCCTTCTGCAGCCGACGGTTCTCGTCTGTTAATGTCTCGCAGCACTTTTTCAAGAACTCACAATCCACTTCAGTCTGCTTCAGCTTTGTCCTGCCCGCAAAAAAAAGAATGAAAATAAAAATTAACACCAGTATTTTTATAGTTTAATTTCGTTAATTAATCAAGGAAATAATTAGTAATCACGTAATTAATTTTAGTTAACCACCTACCTGGCTCTCCTATTCTGAAACCATACTTCTACTTGTCTTGGCCGTAGATTTAACTGCCTTGCTAGAGCTTGCTTTTGCTTCTGTTTGGACACCGAGAAAGTTTGTTAGAAATATTAGTTAAAAAGATCATATATATATATATATAAATATGCATATAAATATACATAACATATTGACTGCCAAAGAAAAATTACAGGATTGAGAGTGCTGTGTTGCTTAAAGCTTTCTTCCAACAGAGCAGACTGTTCTTTGGTGAGCCGAAGCTTCTTTCTGGCATTAACACCGTCTTCATCTTCATCGCTAACTCTGGAAGAAACCCTCTCGACTTCCACCTCATCACCGCTCAGGTCTCTCTCCCTCTTCACCCTACCGCCGGAGAAGGAAGAAACGGCACTGTGAGGAGAAGCCTGACGGTACAAATGGTCACCTCCGGAGTAATTCTCCTCACACCCACCTCTGTTCACATGATCAACCTTTCTCCCACCGACGGCCGCCGCTTGATAGATACTCTCGCCGGAGATCAGACTCAAAGTCAGAGACGGCTCCATCTGATTATAATGATCCAGCTTGAGGTTCGCCGGTTTCTTGACGTTGCCGGAAGTACTATTATTATTTCTTGACGGATTACAGATGATTTGATCGGCAGGCGACGACGACGCGAAGCCTAATCCGAGAACAAGGCCCGTATGACAAGAATCATCAAGACCCATTTGAGTGATCGATTTGGTATTTCGTTTTTTGCAGAGGAGGAAGACGATGGACTGATTAATTAGGATTAGGAATTGGGGAGTTGTTGCCGGAGGCAAATATATATATATATATATATATAGAGAGAGAGAGAGAGAGAGAGAGAGGGAGAGAGGAAAGTGAGGAGAAAGTATGTGAAGTGGGAAGTTTGAAAAATTATGGAGAGAGCAAAAGGATTTTAAGAAGAGAAATCAACGAGTAAGACTCTTTTTTTTTTTTTTGTTGGGTGATAGTTGGGTGGGTGGGTGGCTATGATTATTAATCAAAAATAATGAATTTGAAAATATAAAATATAGTTATAATAATATTAATAATTAAAAAAAAAATAGAATCTGGGGTATTTATAATTTTCTCTCGTTATTAATAATGATATAAAATATTATTAAAAACAATTTCCATATTAAAAAAATATATATATTCATCATTCTGTCTCTCCATCTCTCGTACAAAGGTTGACCAATTGAACCCCCCGGTCAGTAAGCTATTATATTAAAATAATTAAAAGAAGAAATCATCGTGTTGTGTGTGTGTGTGTGTGTGTGTGGGAGTAGAGTAAGAAAGCTACAGTTCACATGGGAAACGAGGAAGACATCAAGAGAGAATGATTCGTCATCCACCAAATTTAACCACCACTATTTACTATTTACTATTTACTATTTACAAAATTTTTACCACTCCCATCTATTTTAATAATTAAAAAAATAATAATTTAAATTCCGTCAAGAACTCCTGTGATGCCATTTCAACTTGACAACGAAGAATCAATTATTAGCCAACTTTTTGACGACTTTCTTTAACTCGTGATGATCGTCATGTCATGTTTCCAATAAATTTTAATGCTTGATTTGGAAAGGGTAATGTTTTTCAGAATTGTTCGCTTAAAGGGTAGTTGGAATTTATAGGAAGATTAATACGAACACACACATATATATATATATATATATATATGGTAATATTCATCAACTTAGATTGTTCTCTTTTTCCCTACCACTATCATTACATTTGGTTAAAATCTACTTCAATTTTTATTCATTAATTATTTAATATGTATTAAACGCCGATTCAATTTGAAAAAAAAAAAAAAACCCACAAGAAAAAACTCGAAATTATAGTTTTTTTTATAAAATAAATTAATTATTCATCAATTTAATATAATATATGTTTTTTTTTATATAAAAATGTTGATCTTAATCATAAAATTTGTTACTTTTATTATTATTATATGTCAACATTGAGTCAAAGAGGAGTCATGATTGGAGATTACAAGTTATCTTTTATTAAATTGACATCCTTCTTATATGAACAAAAAGAAAAGAATTGCCTTTAAAAACAGACCACATGAACTGTCCCCAGCACCATGCGTTTTTTCAACCAATCACTAAAGATGGGTACATATAATGTCACCCTTATATATATACATATACACGTATGTATGTATGTATGTATGTGTATATATATTACCATAACTTTATATCATCAATTTTTTTGTTAATCAATATATTCAATTACGAGGAATGGAAGAGAACAGTTTAGTAATTGAATTTTCTTGCTTATTAAGAATGTTTGAGATGATGGATGGAGATCTCCACTATAAAGTTATGGTGTATTAAATATAATGTATATACTCATCAATTTAATGTATGAGATGCGAGATATTGACTCATATGATATTCTACTAATTTTATTTATATCGAATAAATAATATATTTGAATTAATTTTTGTATCTACATATACAATACGATTAAGAATATTTACGATTTAATGATACCAAAATAAAATTAGTAATTATACAAGGTATATGTAAACTAACATACTTCATAAATATAATTTATCTATATTATGAACGTATCTATAATTTATCTATATTAAGAATATTTACGATTTAATGATAACAAAATAAAATTAGTAATTATACAAGGTATATGTAAACTAACATACTTCATAAATATAATTTATCTATATTATGAACGTATCTATAATTATTTAAAAATTTATAAAGTACGGTGTTTTTTTTAAAAAATAAAAATAAATTTTGACGGTAAAATTATAGTAAAAAAAAGTAGGTAAAAGAGAGAAATGAGTTAAGAAGGAGTGAATAGTTAATAAGGGGGGGGAATGGAGAATATGATTCATGAACAAGAATCCGAATCTTTGCTTAACTAGAAAGTTGATGTCTCTCCCTCTTATACATTGTATAAGCACTTTCAATAATGCTTTGTCGGCTATGCTGATTAGAAGTTAGGTCACCCATAAAACATGGTCATCATCCTATATATATATATATATAGATATTCCAAAACGACGTCGAACAACCAATTATATACCTAAACATACACATCTTTATATCTACAACACGACCTTTACCATTCACTCTAATAATTAATTATTATTAGGTTACAACCCAAGCTTTTATGCCAACATTTACCCATCAACATCTTACACTTCATATCTAATTTAATTACATAGATAATATATATTATTGTATAAACCCATTTATAATTTAATCATATAATATACAGAAATTACGAGTTTTCATTTATTTTTTTACTTGGGTTCATTTAATAATTAAGAAATTTTGCATATAATAATATAACAAATGGTTTATTATTTATTTTAGTTCTTGGATAGACCAGTCATCATTCGTTGTGTGGCGGCCCAAGACGGTTCCACGTAGCAACATGTTTTAAATTAATTTTGGAATAATAATTAATTAATATATGGATTAAGTTGTTGATTATTTTATGGATTTGAACTAATTATTGATAATGAGTGACACAATTAGGAGTAGGAATTCATCAATTGGTCTGTATAATAATTAAGCAGCGGTGTCTAATAATTTGACACATCTAGCGGTGTCTTTTCTTTTTCATTTAATTTGTATTTAAGTAGTGCTTGTGTACCATGACGTATATTTTAATTAATTTAGAATTTAAATTTAATTAGAAGGTAATCGATCGTGATTACTTTCTACTATATATATACATATATATATGTATATATATAATCAAGATGTCTTCTTGCAATAAGAGCAGGTGTTGAGACAAAGATATATATATATATATATATGTATATGGGATAGATTGCTTGAAAACCAGTTTTTAATTAATTAGAGGTGTGTTCTTGATTAATTATTATTTTGTAATCATGATTAGGACAAATAATTGATTTGTAGAAAGACCGGAATGCTTTACATATGCAATTAAACAGGTGGCTTTTGTCAACTTTCTTTTTGTGTGCTTATGCACATACATGCATACACCTATACATTTATGTGTTTGTCTTCTTTGCATGCTTTAGAGGGATGCAAAGACCATATTTTATGTATATGGTATCAAAAGAGTTGTTATATATATATGTGTGTGTGTGTGTGTGTGTGTGTGTATGCATAAAAATTTAAAGTTAAATCTCTACCTACTCTTGGTAAAAAAAATTATTTAAGAAATAATAAATATATATATTTCTATTTATGTAAAACATAAACCAACCGTATTAGATGTTATTAATGGAGTTTACTTTAACTAATACGTTTCATAAACTTTATTATATATATATATATATATGCGAATAAATAAGTTGAAAAATAAATAAATAAATAAATAAGAGGTATGTAATGAATT